TTAAAGCGTCGATTTTCAGAGGGAGAGTGTCTTGGACGACCGTGGCAGCTTGCAGGTCTTGTTCGGCCTTTAGAGCGGTCTGGAAGATACTAAATGTCTCCCGAACCCGCTTCAAGGCAGACGATGCCCGAACGATAGCATCTCCGCTCAGACGACCGTCAGCTCCGAGGTCGTTCAGACATGCGCCGAGCAAATCAAGACCGTTGCGCTCGAGTACTTGCGACGTCGAAAGCGACAAGACTTCTCGCAACTGAGTTAGAGCGGTTGAATCAGCAGCTTCAGTCGCGGCGGCTGAAGGACTAGACCCTGCAGTTGTGCTGGAGAGGAGGGCTTTGAATTCGACCTCCCACGAAGCCTGCACACACAAATCAGGTTAAGCTCAAAAGAAGTCATGAAAATGATAGCAAGAAGGTTTCGTTTTTTAACTTGCCGAGAGGAGACCTCGGCCATGTCTCCAGGATCGTTGCTCGAACCTAAAGAACTCAATGGCCGAGCCCAGTGTCTTAGACTGCTTCTCAGTTCACGCGGCCGATGGAGGTTATCTACGTTCGATGACCACTGAGGCGGCCAAGAAATATAGATAACGCCCTTCGGCGCATAGAATTTTCGATGAAAGGAGTGTATAGGCACCTGACATTTAGTATTTTCCTCGTTTAGAATTCTAAAGCAGAAAAGTTATCAAGGAAATACGGTGGAAGGTACTTACGAAGGTCGAAGTGGCTTCCTGGGAAGGAATATTGAGGTCCTGGTCCTGAGGATGAACGGACGTTCCGCCGTCGCCTCTGGCTCCTTAGCAGGTCGCTTGCCACGGTCGGCCATGGAAAGGCCGACCGAGACAGCCGCTTCGAGTGCGAGATTGAGGTCCTGGTCCTGCGGAGGAGCATGCGTTTTCGCCACCGTTGTTGGCTCTTCGATCGGTCGTTTACCACGGTCGACCGTGGAAGGACCGACTGGAACGGCCGCCTTGGACGCAGGTAGAGGTCGACGGTGGGGATGAGGGCGACTCGCCAATGGAATTTCATCGCTCCCCTCGCTCTCTTCCAGGACGAAAATCGAAGGTTTTGGATGTACGGGAGAAGTCCCCTTGGTCGCAGGGACTGCCTTTTCTAGGACAGGCGCAGTCTCGACCGATGGAGCTACAACGGGTGCCCCGACCTCAGAAACAGGCCGGGCTTGGACTGTTTCTGCGGTCGGAGTTGGCTGTTTCTTGACCAAGGGTTGGCCGACGACGGGAGAAGGGGAAACACTGGGAGTCGTCGCCCCCGTGGTTTGACTGGAGATGACGTGGATCTCCCGTGCTCCTTTCTTTGCCAACTTTTTGACCCGCTTGGTAGGCGGTGGAGGTTCGACAGCCGGCTCGGCCTCTTGGCGAGGCCGTTTGTCAGTACGGCTCGACCAGCAGTCTTAGCCTTCTTAGCAACGACCGATTTTTTCTCGGCCGCAGCCGCAGCGACTACCTCCACCTTTCTCAACAGCCGACTACCTGAGAGAGTAAAAGCAAATCAGTAAGGCAAATCAATGTGCAAAGTTGAAAGAAAATGGGAGAAATGAACAGTTACCTTGAGCTTGGGGGGCCGAGGTCTTCTTAGGTCGATCACCGAAGAGTTTGTTTAACACACCTTCGACCGGAGCACCAAAGAACTCCTGGGTATACTCCTCCCACCAATCACCGAAGGTGTCAGTGCAAAGGGTTTCTGGGGTGGCCGGTCGAAGGCGGAAATTTTGGCATTGCTCTTGGAACTCCCTCGTGGCGGTATTGCATTCCTTCTCCGAGGAACCAGGTTCACGTCCATGGCTTAGGACGGTTCGGGAGGAGAGAAGGGGGACCGGGCAGCCTTGGAAGTAGTCGAGCTGTCGAGCAAGGAAGTTGGGATGGTACACTTCCCAACCCGCTCGTTTCCCATCACAGCCGAGAGGAAGGTCGCGAGTGAGCACGAACGACCCCCAGGACTGACGAAGGTCGGCATCTTCGTCCGCGCCCCACATGGATATGGGTAGCCTGACGGAGGAAGGATAGTCTCGACGACAACATATCAGGAATTCGTCGTTGGAAAGGTCATCAAGGGCGAAAAAGTACTTAAATACCTCTTCGGCTTGGTGAGGGGGTGTCGGTCGGGAGGCCAGCTGAGGTCCGAGCGCTTCCGTTTGTGAGAAATCGATGATGGCCGGCCGAAGGCGGGCGAAGTAAACTTGCAGCCAGAGTTGGAAGACCCAGAGGGGACCATTCTGGTGTGGGTCGATCTTGTGAAGGGTCGTCTCGGCCAGGCAGCGGAGGAGATGGGCAAGAATGTTGGAGCGAAGTGATAGGACGTGACCACTAGCCAGGGCCTCGGCTACCGGCATGTTCTCGACCAAGCATTTGTTCGACTTGGTACAACAAATGTACTTGTTGTACCAATAGAAGAGGAAAGCTTCATGTTCCCCTTCTCGGATGGCCTCTTCTCCTCGGCCGGTGAAATGAAGATAGAGGGTGTTGTAATTGAAGAAGTTCTTGTGGAGTTTCTGAACGTCTTCTTTCGACGGGATTTGACCCTCACGGCTCAACGTCTCAAAAGCCCGTCGATCAAAAAGCGTCTTCAGGTCAAGATTTGACGGGTACCCGAAGAGGGCCGCATCGATGGAGATTCCAGTTGCCGAGGTGCCCAAGATGGCGGTGACATCAAGAATGGTGGGGCCGATGGGACCAAGGGGGAGAACCATGGTGTTGGTGGCCGAACACCAGAAGCACAGGGCGGCTAGGAGAAGCTCCTTGTCGAGAACGACATCCATAGATGAGAGGGGGATGGCGTCGTAGATGCCGAGCGCCTTCCATTGCTCGCCGAAGAGCTTTTCCATTCGAACAACCCAGGCTGCCCAAGTTGTGGTGGTCGAAGGCCATGAGCCTTGAGGTTTCGCTACATCCCATCTCGACCATTCAAACCCTTGGAGCAAGGGTGATAGGCAATGCTCCTGGATAAGTCTAGTAATTGCTGACGGTACTGCAGCTTTGAAAAGAGGACCCAAGATTTGGTGAGAAGTGCTCATGTCACTTTCAAACCGTATGGTTTTGATTGAGCTTCGATCAAGAATCTTCTGACACTGATCACATTCCTTGGAAAGCTTAGAGATGAAGGAGGCCATTGTAGGAGGTTTAAAAGGTACGGTGAAAAAGGGGTTTTTCTGGGTTGGGGATTTGGAGACGAAGACTTGGAAAAAGAACTGCGCTGGAGAACAAGGGCAAGAAATTTCAGAGAGATTTTGAAAGCGTAAAGTATGAATGAGGGATTCTCAGTATTTATAGGATTTTGGAAGGAAGGACAATCGTTCGAATTTCAAAACAAAGGGCAAAATCGACTGAAGGAATCGCTAATCATGATGAACATTTAGGAAATACAGTTGAGAAGACCGAGGGTCTCAGGTTTTGGGGGCGCACGATTGCGTGTGATGGCGAGATTAATGGCGAAAGACGTTTCGACGTTTGCACGATGATAAGCGGCTCGCGGATTGAGGTAGAGTGGCTAGGTTCAGCCATAAGGTCATGATGGCACGACGGTTCAGGTAGCCGCACGCCTTAGATGTCTTTATTGGGGATTGGTCGTGTTAGAAGACGCCACGTGGCGAGTTGGTTAGCAGGATCAAGATCGTGCAATCGTGCTCAATAAATGCGCCTTGGAAATAGAGCACTAGGGTTCTGAGGATTACATTCGCTTCTTCAAGGCCGAACCTCGGCCAACGAATTCAGGCCGAGGACCTCAGAAGCGAGGGGGCAATGTTTGGGCCCAAAATAATAGTTTGGGCCGAGTATAGAATCATTCTCGGCCCGGAAGGCCTTGCGACAAGAATACCATGGGTCGTTCAGTACGTGGGCCTCCAAACCTAGGTCGGCTAGGTCATAACGTAAGAAGTCGAGTCCTAGTGCAATGAGGAGTCTCGGCAGGACCCGGAAGCGAATCCGGCTCGGTTAGGGACTAGGTTCACAATCCTAGTGAAAGTAGGACTGGTTGAGTTGGTGCTTATCAGGAGAAGAAGACCTAGTTCGAGTAGGTTTTTAACTCGACCTTGGGGGGAGCCGTTGCTATAAATAGAAGAGGCTGCGCATCATTCAAGCCCCCTGCAAATCAATACAAAACTGCCCTGCGCAAACTCTTAACAACTTGAGATTTTTTCTTTCTTTTTCGCTGACACATCTTCCGTTGGCATCAACAGCACTGTGGAAGCAACCGGTGATATCTTAAGTCGGCATAGATAACTCTGTCACCGTAGAATCAGTCGATCTCGCAGTATCTTCCATTGGCATCAACAGCATTGCGGCGAGAACGGTTGATTACCTATCCAAGTCTCGGTCGAGAAGGATTTCCAGATCCTTATTGATTGAGGTCATCTCATTAGCCTTCTCGGCAACGTGAGGTGTTACGGCATATCAAGCTCGGTGCTTTGCTCGCCGAGTCATTTCATGATTGGATATTCCCAAGTGGGATTTAGAGTTCGGCATTCGGACGGCCGAACCACGTTCACCATTAAAACTTATATTTGCTTTGAATATTTGTGCCCTTACACTCTGGTGTCGATTCGGCGTGAGTTTACTCTGACGAATAACATCACTGTGACTGAATCCGACGACGTCGACTCGTGAACTTCGTAAGAATAGTAACCTTGTCTTCAGGTTCGAGAGCCCAAGAGGCCGAGACGTGTTCCTCTCTCGGCCGCAATCGCAAGACGCAAAAGTCAGACGCACACCCAACGCAACATCAACAAAATTTATCCTTGGCCGAGCTCGGCCGACGAGTTGGCACGCCCCGCATTCACCGAATGACGTAGTTAGCTTATAGATTACTCGGCCTGCGCCACGTAGGCTTGGTAGTTTTTAGGGTCAACAAGTTCACAATCCATTCTTAGACAACCTCTTGGCAACATTTTTAATTTTTGGTTTAAGATTGTTAGACCCTTTAGAAATATCAAATATTTTAGCAGAAGTACCAGTTTGATTAAAAGGTTTGGAGTACTTGAAATTCTTACATGAATTATTTCCAGCATTGTTGAATTTCTTCCTCTTTCCTCCTTGCACAAAATTCTTGCTTTTGCAGAGTCTCTTCTTGAACACATTGTGCGATGAGCTCATCTATATCCCAACTCTTGCCTTGTGTATTATAAGACACCTTCAGTTGAGAATATTTGATTGGAAGAGCCTGGAGAATCATGAAAACCAACTGTTTTTCTCCAATATTAACATCCATTGAGTTTAACTTCTTAGCAGCATTGCTCATCTTCAGTATGTGATCTCGAATTGAACCAGTACTATCAATCTTATAGGTTGTCAGTAAGGCCATGTATTGACTGATTTCAGCCTTTTGAGACTCCTTGAATTTCTTGTCAATTGCACTTAAATATTCAGCAGCTAATTCATGTCTTTTGATGCCTCCACGAACTGTATCAATTATGCCACTTTCCAGGATGGAGGGTGCCACCTTGTTGACTCTCATCCAGCTTTCATGGTCTGCTTTCTTTGTTCTAGTACTCTGGTATGTGATTATTGGTTTTGGAGCATCAATGGCAATGTCATACTCATTTATAGTCAATAGCAATCCAATATCACGTCTCCATTTCTTGTAATTACTTCCTCTAGTGAGGATTGGGATGTTAGCTAAGTTCAATGTCATCAATGATATTGCAAATACTACATACGAAATCACAAACATGAACCAATTAGGTTCTTGATTTCCTTTTGCAGATTACACATCATAACTTACATCAATAATTCATACATATAAACTTAACAACTAATAACTGATAAGCATATATAGATAACCAATAGATGTCTCATGCATAATGATGTAATATCAAAATAAAATGATCATCAGAATAAGAAGATCATGACTTTGCAAGATATTGGAAAATTATAGCCTTATATGTGATTGGTCATCCATTGCTTAAGAATTCCTAACTGGCAGTTTTAATTAGTTTGGATTTTTCTTTGATTTTGATCTTGGTATTCCAAAAATCAAACAGAAAACCTCAATTTAAACTATGCATCAAAATAGGTATGCCAATACTGATAAATCAACACAAATCATCAAACATAACTCCGACAGATGAGTTTCAATTTGAAATAGCACAGCGGAAATAATCATCCAAATTGAAAACAGTAATTTAGAGATTTATGGCTCATGTTTGCAATTTTTGTAATCGAAAAACCCCAAATTTGGGAGAGAACCCAAACCAATGATTTTGCAGGAAGTCCAACGGAAAAGAAAAACTTTTGGAAAAGTTTTAACAGTAATATTTTAATAACACGTTTTGTCGTTATTCATAAAAACCACATACTGGAACCCGAGTTTGATTCCTCTAGGTTGAAACATAAGGCAAATTTATTTAAGCTGTAGAACCCATTGATTTTAATAACAAAATTCATAAACTTGTGATTAAGGCTTTGATACCTCATGTTAGATGAAACACAAACCAAGAACAAGTAATATGAATTACTGTGATCAAAACACAAATTGATGTTCATTAAACTAATGTACGGAGAAGATCATACCTACAGATGAACTCGAAGAAGCAGGCATGACCAAGTTTCGCTGTAAGGTTGCAGTGCACCTTCTCCTCTCTCCAATAATCGGTTTTGCTCTTAACTAATAATAGATCTTAGTTTGTAATCGAGCATATCAATTGTGAGAGCAGAGGCCACTATATATACATAACATAATCCTTGCCAAATCCCATAAGGATTCCTCTATTAGAATCCTTATAGGAAACTAATCCCTTAAATAATAGTCCAATGTAATATGGATTACAAAATCCATTCCCAATAAGACTTCCCATTCAATCTCAAGACCAATAACTAAGTTCATAGATTCATACTTATGCTCATATTATTACAACATCATCATTTGAAACCATCCTTAATATCATATTGCATATAACCATACTATAATAAGGTTTTCTTAGTTGTTTTTTGTTGCCCCTACTAGAAGAAATTTCTGGCTCTGTAGTCGAAGGATTCTCACTGTATGGTCCTTGGGATGGTCTTAATGGATGATCAGGGGTCTCTTATTACGGGTGCGAATGCCTCTGGTTTTGCAGCTACCCCTTTATAAGTGGAAGCTCATGCAGCTATCTTGGCCATGAAAACTGCTCTACAAAATAAATCTCCTGGGTGATCTTCAAATCCGATTCTGAGGTCCTAGCCAAGAGTATTAACTGTGGAAAAAATCCTGTTAGGTGGTCTATTTTTCCACTCATTCGTCAAATTTGGAATCTCCGTCACCGCTTTCGCTTTACTAAATGGTGTTGGATCCCCCGCCAAGCCAATTCGACAGCTGATTGGGTTGCCTCGTAAAGTTTACGAGGGATGTGTCTGGCTGTCTAGGTACGTAGACCCCTATCTGCTCTTGTGCATGTTCTTTCCATTAAAGGCCTTCCTTGTCCACCTTAGGAGTGCTACTGGGCTTTGGAATCCTTGAAAATGGCGACTTAAGCGTCTGCTTCGAGCCTTATTATCATTTTCTTAGGTCTTTCTGCGTTATTATAGGTTTTGGAGTTTTTATATGTATTTCTAGGGGACTTGGTGGCTATGTCTTGCCTATCGTTTTGTAGGGGTTTCCCCTCTCTTGTTGTTTAATGAAGATGGTTTTCTGATAAAATAAAAAAGATAGGTATCTAATTGACTTTGGGTGTAAGTGAGGCATTTTTTTTTTTATGAATAAATAATATACATTAAGGGGGTAGTGGAGTTGGCTAAGCCTCACAATGGGCTAACAATAATGTGGTTCAAATTCGCCTCTAGCGAGAACCAAACCTAAGACCTATTAGTTACTAGTGATGAGAAATCCACCAGACCATAGTACTAAGTGGCAAGTGAGAAATCCCTAGAAGTATGCCTTTGTTTGTTAATTTTGAGATTATTTTTTTTGTTTAAACACTTTCTAGTTTTAATCATAGCGAACAAAATTATTGTTTATTTTTTGACGAATAATACAACAATTGTTGTAGGCATAAATTACTAAACAATTATGGAGGCCATATGGAGAAATAGAGAGGGTTCGGCATATAGAGAGAGAAGAGAGAAATGTGTAATTGTGGTTGTGTTCTATTCCACCCCATTGTGCCTTTATTTATAGTATTAGGGAAGCTTAATTCCTTACCCTTTTAGGATTACAACTCTTAATAGGTAATCAACTCCTAATAGGAATATAAGAGATATTCCTAGAACTACTAGGATTTACACAATCACATTCCTAATCTAATAGGACCACAACACTCCCCCTTGAGTGTGTAAATACTCAAGTAAATGGCGCATCAGGTCTTCAGCGATGAAGTAAGTATAGTTTATGAAGTCGTTAGCACAAAGAGCGAATGCAAGTCTCAAATCAACAGAAGAATGCATAAAAAGTAAAACTCACAAAACCTCGCTATGGTAAAACCCAAGGTGGGAGAAAAACCCATAGACTAAGGAGAAAAGTGATAGACGCATATTTATGCGACTTAGTTAACTAGTTTTCTTGCATTTACGTTATTAGTTCTTAGTTATTTTAGTATTTTAAGCCATTTTCGTGTGTTGTAGGTCCAAAGGGCTAAGGTAGCAAGAAAGTGCATTTTGGTGCATTTTGGTGCATTTTGGAGCAGTTTTGAGCTTGGAATGGATTACATATGATATGAGCAAGATGGATGGACGAATTTGAAGACAAAAGAGGCTAAGAACATGCTAAAAATCTGGTGAAACAAATACAAGTTGCAAGAAGGGATAAATTTCTAGAAGGATTGGCCAAAACTTCACTCAAAACACATCAATGTCGTGGCTTTTACTTCCACCTCCACCAGAAATTTGAGTAATGATGCAATGCTTAACTCACCATGACATGTGAGTGGATGATGCAATGCTTAGCTCACCATGACATGTGAGTGGATGATGCAATGCTTAGCTAACCATGACATGTGAGTGGATGACTCAATACCTAACCCACCAACAATTCCCACTCTTTGCCATGCTCACCTACTCAATTCCACCAACATTTTGTGTTAAAACAAGTCCATCCTCTTTCCTATAAATACCATGGCATCAACCTCATTCAAATCATCCAGAAATTAACCATTCTCCAAGCCTTTCCTTGCCTCTCCTACATATCTAAACCCCTTCCCATCCATTCCTCCAAATAACCAACCCTTCAACATCATTCCAACCTTGTTGTTGCGGCAAAGAGAAGGAGAAAAGTCCTTAGACGCACTTGCTATCCAACATGGATCGTTGGAACGTTTAGGTGCTTTCTTTCCTTTGTTTTTCAATGTTTAAATTTGTTTATCTTTGTTTTGTAATAATGAGGAACTAAACCCCCTTTGGCTAGGGGGGGATTCGAAACCATGTTAATGCTTGCAATATGATTTGATTACTTTTAATTGCGTTTCATAAATTATGAATTCGATTTACTTATCTATTTGATTGATAACATGTTTATGTATGTTGATTAGGGATGCATACTTAGTTTGCATGCATAAATATGATGCTAGAGTATAAGGGAATTTCACCTAATCGTTATGAACTTATATTCATGAGTAGTAAAAGTCGCTAGTCACGATTGTGTTAAGTAAATCCTTGGCATAAGTTTCATGCAAATCATAGTAACGAGTGTCTCGTCAATGCTTATGTTTTTCATAGAACTTAATGATTCTTGCTTGTATCTCTATTATGCAATTCATGTAGGGAACTTGTAAGGAATGTTTTGGGTTGTCGTATGCAATCATCCAACCCAATAACTTGTGGAAAAACTGAGGGTTAATTAGTGCAATTCACGGTTAATTTGGGGCGTTGAGAATTAATAAGTTATTGAAATGCAATTGGAAATCATTTTGTATGCAAGCAAGACATGTGTGGAGAAGAACCCCTTAGCTAGCCTTCCATTATCCATTCAACCCAAATTTGTTTAAAATCTATTTAAGTTTTTAGTTTATTCGTTTTTACTTTCAACTTCACCAAACTCAAATCCCCCTTTTACTTTCTTGTTTTAAAATCTTTTGTTTACATTTTTAACTTTGTTTTTATGTTTTTAAATTAGTTTTCAAGTGATTTAGCAATCCCTCCTAATCCCCGGTTTAGAACGATCCCTACTTACATCTATACTACAATTGTCAAAAAGAGGGTTAAATTTGTGTGCTTATATATTTCGCATCAAAAAGTGAGAAGTTGCATTAAGTCAAAACCATACGTCTTTTGGAAGCAAGTAGAAAAGCTCACAAGGGTATAATCAGCCCAAGATGGGTGCCTCGTTAAAACCTAGTTAGGTAGCAAAATCCTAGTGGGAAAAATGCTCCTAATTGTAGGGAAAAATAGTACATTAAGATTAAGTAAGTATACTTCTGGATACTCCCCCTGAGTTTGACATAAGTTCCAAATGAGAACTACAAGCATTGCATATGATAGTTAAGCATACCAATTCCTTGAACAAGCTTCTGGAAGATTGACTTCGGCAGTGACGTCGTGTAGAGGTTAGCAAGGTTGTTTAGGATCGACTTGCATGAATTCAATCTCTTGATGCTTTGCTGATGTAAATGTAGACGTAGTATGCCTTGGTGTTGACTTCGTTGTTGTATCATGGCTTTGTCGGGTGGATACATGCGGCATAATCTTCATGGATCGTTGTAAGGACTCAACGATGGATGAAAGACA